GTTCACAGGGGCTTATTAAGATGGAGCCTATAACGGGGCAATTTCATTTGCAAAATCCAAAGAGATCAGGAAAACCCACGTTATTGCTATTTCTTTGCTGCCTACGTTGAATCAAGATCTACCTTATATCAAATACAGGGGGTACCTCATGTCATAAACTCATATATATATATACGTGAATAACAAATGGGAGTTTTCACCTTTACTGTGTGAATTTGACCTAATATACAGGCATCTGCAAGGTAAGTCAAGCTGACATGACGGGGTCGATACAACATTTCCGCCGGAAGAGAAGAAATAAAACGATCTTATGTCAGGCTCTTTATGCCCAAAACTTGCTGATTATTTGATTAATGAAAATATGTCGGGCAGGTATTTGTCTCTAAAAGTTAGAATGTTTGGACATTGTTTAGGATTTCTGAGAGAGAGAGAGAGAGAGAGAGAGAGAAAGAAGGAGAGAGAATCACATCTTTGAACTACGAATATACACCATCTAAACAACAAAGAGAGAGAGAGAGCTGTGGATAGCGAAAAAATGTTCACATTCTGAAATGGCTGTGTAGACAACTATAAAAGAAGTTAATTCCCCTCAACAATCTATTTTTCAATTTCACAACAAAGGGGTATAATCAGATTTCATTAAATAATTTACCAAATGGGTGATCGAAATGGATGCTATAATAACCTTTTTTAGAATTTTGATTTCTAGATCCAATTATATCATGATTTTAACATAAAAGCTATTTTTTATTACACAACAAAGGGGTATAATCAGACTTCATTAAATAATTTACCAAATGGGTGATCGAAATGGATGCTATAATAACCGTTTTTAGAATTTTGATTTCTACATCCAATTATATCATGTTTTTAACATAAAAGCTGGCACCAAAGCTTTTAAGATGCACGTAGAAAATATGACCACGTATTGAACAGATTCTAAGTGTTAAAACATTCGTAAATAGCACCAAAACAATTGACTCAAATAAAATAAAAGCAAGCGAAAGGAGCCGTTCTCTTAAATTGTACGAGAATCGATCTGCGTTTGGAGAGGCGCCATTTTGAATTACAGAGACATTGCACTACCCAAATATTTAACATTGGGCCGTTGTAAAGGGTTTGTTATGAGTTGGTCGAAAGACAAAAGCCTGGGTAAACAGTCTGGCTCTCCCGCGTTAAAACAACGTAGATTGTTTTACCATTCAGTGACATATAATAATGCTGTCACATTGCTTAGTAATGGGCCTTGTCATTTTATAGATGTAAAGGAGACATTTAACCACTCAGGCTGTCGTTTATAAATAGCTTTAGCCTGGTAGTCCATTAAATCAGTTAGTCTGAATGCAAAGCATCTACGGTTTCAACGACTCTATTTATACACTATGTGATACAATGTGCATACAAAAGTTTGTCTATTTTGAAAAAGCAAACGCAGTTGTTGTAAATAAGATAATTCGCATTCTACTTCAATCGTTTTAACAATATTAATTAAAATACAGTGTGCATACGTAGAAAAAAAACTTTGCCGCTGTTTTGCCTGGTGTAAAAAGGCCTATTTCTGTACTAGTACAGAGTAAAACCATCTACTATAAAATAAACAACAAAAAATACAATACGTAATCGCACATGAAAAATTTCCACTTTTAAGTTGACGCAATGCCAAAACTCGCATCAGTAGCCATAACTGGCATCACTGCTTGAGCCAGGTCCAAGTCATCTCTCAACTGTTACAGCCTTTTAAAAATGTTTTCCAAACGTTTTAATCACACACATATAACTTTAAGATAGAATACATTTCTGTGAGAGTGTATCATGTCGACTTGGGGTGGGGGTGGGGGTTGTGTAATGGTCACTGCGCGGGGGCTGTGCCGTTTACTGTTGGG